GTATTTCTCTTTCTAGGACATGACATATTTACTTTCTTTAGGGGTACTTTATCCTGAACTTTGTGTCCTTCTTAAGCTCTCAGTTTTCTTCAGTCCTTTAGATTAAGGTTTCTATCAGAGGATGGAGATGACATAAATGAATCTTATGTACCACAAGATATAGAAGTCAAAGAGTGAGGTCAGATTCATGATGCAAGGGACTCGGCAGAGTCTTATTTTGGTGTAAGGAAGGCTTGATTCTGTTAATCAACCAGTTCTTTAATTGACTAAGCTGAAATAAATCTTTCCTAACTAAAAGCATGAGCTTTTGACAGTGCTTAATTATGTCAAATTGAATTTGCACCTGAAGTTATATGGGAAAAAGCTTGCCTTGGAGGTGATGCAGAAGTAACACTGAAATTGAATCTGAAATCAGTTGGCATGTGATAACTTTGACCTTTACCTCCTAAGAAGATATTGGTATAAAAATTAAAACTAATCATTATACTTGAACAAGAAAGGGCAGGGGAAAAAAGGCAATTATTATCTTTTTTTTTCCCCAAAGAAAATGTTTTCATATATCTCCAGACACTTAATTTTGTTTATGCATAGAACTTGTCCTGTCAGAATATATTTCCTATCCTATCAAATTAAAGGGCATAATTTTTGCTTTTTTCTGTAACAGTTTGCTCAGTCTCTACTTTTCTGTTATTTGTTGGGTGTCAGTGTTTTAGTGTCAGTGGATGAAATCCTGATCACTTGAAATCTATATGTGTGTCTAGAAAATCTTAGTGTAACTCCAGGAAATGCATATTTTCTTAATATAGATATATATGTATGAAATTAGCCAATACCTTAGATGAACAACTGGACTTTGTTAAGTGCTTCTGCAAACACAGATTAAGCTTTAGAACTTACCTGCCATATTTTTTCAGCTGATTCACATAAGCATTTTTTGGCACTATTTCAGGATAAAACAGGAGTGGAATTTGATACTAGAGTGTCGTAAGAAAGGTATTCCTCAATCAAAATACCTCAAGAATGGCTTTGTAGACATCAATGAGAAGAACCTGGACACTCATGGAAAGACTCCTCAGCTCAAGAAGAGTCATGCCTTGTCAGATGGAGTAAATAAGGAAAAAAACAAGTTTATTTTTCAGCTTTCTGGAGAGCAGTGGACGGTAAATATAATAGAAAATATGTTTCTCTTGGTGAAGAGCTTTAGTGTCTTAGACTACATCCTTTAATCCCTCCTTTTTTTATGGCAAATGCATATGAAATTGATGCTTTTTCACAGTATGAGAAGCAATCAAACTATTTGCTAGTGCCAGTTTCAGGTCCGTGTACTTTAAATTCTCTGCTGATACATGTAATTTATCCCTCTCAAAAACTTTGGTATGGGCAGTAACACTGCAATAAGGTCTCCTTCTCTAGAATTCCCCAATGGGTGAAGAGAGATGAAAATAATATTTGTTGGCTTATTGCTGTCTTCTACTAATCAGAGATCTGTATTATTGCTCTAATGGTGTGATAACACTTTTTCAAGATCCGCTCAACTTAAAACTAATATTAGTGTCAATCCACAAGGGTCTCAAAAAAATGCACATTTGACTTGCAGATATGTTTGATGTGAAGTTGCAGTTTGCAGGTAAGATGTGAATTAGTAGTAGCTGGAAATTGAGCAAGTGGTGGGTTAGACCTTTTCTGAAGCTTTCTGGAGTTGTAAGAGCTTTAATTGAAATGTATTTGGAGATATGCTACTTTATTAATGATAATGTGAAGTTAAAATTTTGAATTTCATGTAGTATTTTCATTCAAAAAATATAAATCAAAACATTGCTAAAAAAGCTAGAATTATTTTTTTATTGACCTGAAGTGTAGCTTTATCCTAGATTTGATCTTGAATCTGACGGTGTTTTCTTTTTTCAGCATTTTCTTTTTCTTGCTTTAATTTCCTTCTGAATAAACATACAATATTTGAAATTTCTGGACTGTAGAAAACCCTTGTTCCCATTCAGCTCTACTAAGGATACTCTTTCTTCAATTCATACCAATTATTGATCTGATAGGACTGGTTTCTGGGGAGCTATCACATATCTTCATTCAAGAACTTGGGATTTTGGAAGTGATGTTTAAGACATGTAGTTAAATACTGCATTCTTTTGGGTATTGTAAACCTTAGTTTAGAAGAACTTAAAAAAAAAAAAAAGAAAAGAGAGACTACAGCTCCTTAGACACTGATGTAGTAACAACTGCAAATATCTTTAATGCATCAGAGTGCAGGGAGTTGCATAATTAAACTTTTCTGTTGCTTACTCTCTCTTGACAAACCATTAAAATTTTGCTTTGTCATCATAAGCTAGGCTTTGCATTAGGAGGCAAAATCAAACACACATGTTTTGTTCTGTTTTCCAGAATATTTAATTCTAATTTGATCTGAAAAATCCCATTTAAGAGAAATTGGTGTACTATTACCTACATTATGCCATCTTGACCAGTACATTCCTAACCACCATGGGTTTTGATATCTTATCAGATGCTCAGTGTGTCCATATCAAACAGCCATCCAATCTCATTGTCCAGCTCTAACCTAGCTAAAGTGGGTTTCCTGTTTCAACAATAAACTGTGATATAGTTCAGGTATCTGCAGACAAAGATGCAATCACAGCTGACTTATTTAGAGATCGATACTTCTTCAAAATTGAAATGTCACTTTCTATTTCAATTTATTTCAAATTTTTCAATTATTTCAAAATTGTCAAAACTCACTTGACAAAGTTCTGAAAGAAGTGTATATCCACTTACTGTAGAAATTTTGTAGCTTTTATCTGTTGTACAAATCATACAACTTATTTTGTTTTCTAAAATCTGAACTGATGATTCTGAACCAAAGACAGAATCAGACAGCATAGTCTTTTCCCCTATTACTTTCTCACAAAAAGAAAGTATTCATGTTTAAGCAAAATGAATTTTCAGACTATAAAAGCAGTGCTGCACGGTCTGGCAATCTACACATGAATAAAATCTGTGGATATGTGACAATTTTCTCAGAGAAGGCTGTATGTTATGTAGCTGGGAGCTGCAGTGTCAATTGTGGTTTAGTATTTTTTTATGTGCTTTGTGCACAAATACATCTATGAGTTGAAAGTTTCGGTGATTAAGCACTCAGGGACTTGGAGAAGTCAGAGTTGGGATTACCTGTGCAGATTTATGGGCACATAACCAGCTGGATTTGCTGTTGACTGGCCACTTACCACTGGCAACAGCAAACAGCACAGTCCTGTAAAGTATCCATTTGGGGATGAGCTGCTGAATTTTCTATCTTCCCTTTAGCTGATAAGTATTTCTATTATGTTTCCCCTTTTCTCTCATCAATGAAGCAGTAATATATCCTCTAGACAGTTGATAGCTAAATCTGAGCAGGTTGTTGGTGTGACTTAGAGGTTTAATTTTGAGAACAAGGCTTGCTTCTGAGCTATACCATTTCTTTTTATGGATGCTGGGAAGCTAAGTCTCACAGAGGAGTAATCCCCAGCAAGGGGATGTGGCTTTAACACGTCCTTTCCATAGGTATCAATGTCAGAGTGCCTAGGCTGTCTAGATGGTGAAAATGTAGCCTTCTTGGAAGGAACCTGCTGCTCTGTGCTCCATATTCATGTAGCAACTGGCTTGTTGATTCTGCATTGCTGAGTAGGAGGTAAAAAATTTGTTTTGTAAAACACTCCATGGTGGAATCATAGAATTGTTTAGGCTGGAGTAGACCCTTAAGTTCATTGAGACAAAACATTAACCTAGCAGTTGAGCAATGTAGTCAATGCCTTTGGTCATGCTTCAGCAGAAGCACCATGAGGCTATCTGGCACCTAGGGAACATGGTCTCTCCTTATCTCTTATCTCCTTATCTACCCTTCATAGCCACAGTACTTGTAGATAGGTAACAGTGTTCACCCAGCCACAAGAGTTTGGCATAGTTTGGGTAAATATTTTGAAAATAATCTGGATCATGCTTTTTTGAAAATAACATCAGACATTCTTCTGAGAACCTTAGTAAAGGTGAAAATCAGAGCAGATCACTTATTTTGAATTCCTAATAGGAACTCTTTCCTTTGAGACCTCATGCCACTTTTTTCCCACCTCTCAAATATCATTGATATAATGTATTTTTATTAGATAGTGACCTACTGTTCTTTGTACTTATAAAGTAATTTTAACACATCTGAGAAAATATAAAGCTCTTTGAAGGCAACAAAACAGTGAGGGAAAAAGTGGTAATAATTTGGAATAATTAGCCTTTAACACTTTTTGGTGTATTTTTACTTTTAGTGTTCGTGACTATGGGCCTTCCTTAAAGGCATGTATTCCTGTGAAGAAGATTAATAGTGAGTGATTTATGGATTTAAAGCCAAGGACTTATAACACAGTGTTAGAGTAGACAAGGGAGCAGTGGAGTTTGTACTTTTAACAAAGCTAGAGTGACAGTGAGATCAGTGAAAAGAGACTGGAAATAAGAAGAATCAAATACAAGTCAGGCTTTCTTAGAAGCAAAAATAACAGTCTTAAACACAATACAGCTAGCACTGGGCATGTCTTGCATGGGATAAGTACAGAAATGAAAACTATTTTGATGCCAGGAAAACAGAAGGAGGAAATGTTAGATTGTAACAGTGAATGAAACACTACAGTGTTCTGTATGAAAGCCTGTACCAGTATGAAAAAGCTGACATGAAAACTACTATGTTAGACAAGTAAGCACAAAGTGTAGCTAAAGAGACTAGAACTTAATTTTGCAGTATATGAATTCTGAAAAAAATGTATTCTCTTTATGCAGATCCACATTTCCTTGTAGATCAACAGCACTGGATGTAGAATTAGTCTTTCTGCTTGAAGAACAAGTACTCAGCAAGTCCCTCTGAATCTGAAACACGTTTTGTAACCTGGGTTCTGGTTTAGCCATGCCTGTCCATGTAATCAGCTTCAGCCTGTGGGCAGTGGTTGATAACTACATTTATGACATAGTCTTACCTTTGTCTGTCAAAGCTCCATCTGGCTAGGGCTGTTTGACAACATCCTAAAGGTACAGGAATCCTTGTCTCCTTTGTACATACTGGACAAATATTTTAGGCTGGACATTAGGGAAAAATTCTCCATAGAAAGAGTGACTGAGCATTGGAATGGGCTGCCCAGGGAGTTGGTGGAAGAACTGTCCCTTGAGGTGCTTAAGAAAAGAGTGAATGGCACTTGGTGCTTTGGTTTGACAAGGTGGTGTTAGGTCACTGGTTAGACTCTGTGATCTCAAAGGCCTTTTTCATGCAAGTTAATTCTGTGGTTCTGTGACTCAAGTGTCTACCTCCCATGGGTGTGCATTTCTGCCCGCTGAGGACAGTAATGAATTAGGATTTGCAGCTAGGAAAGAAAAGAGCATACAATAAAAAAAAAGGACTAGTATCATAATCATAGAATCACAATTTGATATTGTGGATGAGATCAGACAGGTTTTCTCTTGATTTTCTCTTTTAATATAAAAGGGGCAGAATCCAGTTGTATTGCCTAAGCAGTGAGTCTCCCAAATCTTCCTGTGTCTACAAAGCACTTGGGATTTTGAAAGCATGAGAATGGTGTGTTGTGCCACAAGTAATTTCAGGTTCCCAAGGCATGTTTCAGAAAAAGAAAATAATTTATCTGAGAGTTTTACAGGCAAAAAAATTTAAATATATATATATATATATACACATATATATATGGATTATGGACCTTTGAATAATGTGTTTGAATTGGATGCCTAGAGAAAAAACAACTAGAATTGATGCAGCACTTGAGAACCTCTGTACACATAAACATGTATCTACTCAATTAAATTAGTTCTTCAGAGAAACAGCACCATTAGAACTAGAAACTGAGGCAAAATAATGCCATGAATATTCATATGAATTTTTAAATTAAATCACTTTAACTCTGTTTTTCCCCTCTGAGTGTTTACTTTCTGCTGTTAATTAATGAATGTTTATTCTCTGGCGAATCAGTGAATTTTAAATGTTTTTCACAAAATATTCAGGATAAACAAATTCTTTAATGTTGTGATATCAATATTGGCAGAGGAAAGCTGATGATGCTCTTCAAATGCAGAGGAGGACTGTCCTTGGTTATGCTGCTTTACCTAAGTAGAGGTGTATTTATTCTCACAGTTTTATTGTCTAACATAATATGTATTTTCACTGAGAACTGAGAATATTTTCATTTGCTATTCCCAACTGTTTCTCACAGTGATGTATTTATTTTCTACAAAGGGTCAGGAAGCATTGCTACATTGAATGGACAGGGAAAATCTCTCTTGTGGTTATGTAAATTCCTGAGATTCACACCCTGGCCCCCCCCCCCAAAAAAAAAGAAGTTCCTGACTCTTTTATTTAATAAGAAAACTCATGACCACTTTTATTATTAAAGGTAGTCCCACAACATAATATATTTCATCAAATCAGGACATCTAAAATTGTTGAGTCCAGCCATTAACCTAAAGCTGCCAGGTCCACCACTAACCCGTGACCCCAAATGCCTGAGGAATGTTTAGCCTGGTGGCAGTGTCGGGATGCAACCCCTCTTTGCTTCTGGGCTCCAGCCAGTCAGGAGATGGAGTGCAAGAAGCATGGAAGGGGCTAAGGGCAGGGTCTCTGCTTAGCCCATAGAAGAGGAGGAAGGGGGCTCTCCTGCTCTGCCTGTTGGCATGGGCCTTGCCTGCACTCTTCTTTCCCTGCAGAAGCAACAGGCACAAGTGAGCATGGTTGGCAAATCATCCTGTTTTATTGGCATGTCCACAACAAAGCCGCTCACTCTGCTCCCTTGGGACTGTGATGTCCCACCACAGATTTGTAAATGCTCGTGGTTGAAAGGAATGACAAAAAACACAGAGTTCAAAAAAACTCACCAGGTTTTATCAGTAAATTACTGTTATAATTTGATATTAAATTTTTCTGCCTAAACGAAGGTGCGAATGAGAGCAAATGCTGGTACAAGAACACAAATTTTACTTTGTGTACCAACTTTATTAAGAAAAATTTGAGGTGGTGTCCTAGGGTGACTTTATGATGCTCGCATCCCCAGGTATCTGTTCTGTTTATGCTGGATATTAGGTTCTGCACCTTTAAGACTGGTTCTGAGAGTGAAGGTAGGGAAAATAAGCGCACAGTTTGTTTTCAGAAACTGCACTTACTCCCCTGTATTTTCTCTCATTGACTGAGTTGTATGCAGCATGGACAGTGGGAGAGAACTCTCCTTTGCTTTTAGTTAGTTTTTTTAAGGTAGCCGAGGCAGAGTAGTTCCCCAGACAGTGGTTTTTCTTTTTCTTGGAACTAATCAGCCCTGCTCTGGACTGAAAACCCTGCCAAACCCCTGGGAGCTCAGGCCTGTGGCCCATGGGGGCCTGGCCTCGGCACTCATCAGCACCAGAGGGACTGATAAGAGATTGAGAGAGCCCAGCTACACCCCATGACAAGGACTTTCTGAATTTGCCATCTCTTCAGAACAATAAGAGGTTTTATGGTTTAATATTATTCATTTTTTATGCTTGAGAATACTTTTCTTGCTAAATAAACAGGTTTTTTTCCACTTTTCTCCAAGGAAATCTTTCCCCAAACCAATTAGTGGGAGGCACTGCTTGAATCTGGTTTCTAGAGAAGTTTCCTCCCAAATTTGCCCTAAACCAGGACAGGTGAGGAGGGAGAAAGAGAGGCATAAAGAGATAGAGAAAAGATAGTACAAGCAGAAGATAGCTACCAGTGAGTGCTTGTTTAAAGTATATGCTGCAAATGTTACTAAGCCTTTCCTTACACCACCATGTTACTTAAATTTTGATCAATGGTCATAGTCTTGGTCTATGGTGGTGATGTGAACATACCAGAGGGAGAAAATAAGGATGATGAAGAAGAAGAAGAGATAATGCGATAAATCATATATGAAACAACTGCCATTCCAATAATCTAGAAAATAAATCCAGTTAATAACATCATTCCAAATTTTAGTATTCATGAGCCCCACCCTATGAGTTCAAATGATCAGAGTGTAGACAGCAGCCAGGAGTTGGGGCTCCAACCATTAAACATGTCATTTAGCTTCATGGATTAAAACAATTCAGCAGTTCAGCCATTTATTTCTTTCCTCTTAGCTCATGCTTCCTTAATGGAAGTAGAGGCATAATAAATGGTAATACAACATTCTGTGTTGGTTAAATTTAACATTCCACGTGTTGTTCTTTAACATTCTACATCTTGTTCTTGAAGTAAATGATTTTGTAAGGCCTTTTTTGATACTTGTTGGACTTGAAGTTTTAGTTCTCCAGGGGCATATTTTTTTCAATTGCTTGGTGCATGCATTTGCCATGTGATGTTTTCTATTTCCCATTGATGTGGTCTGATAACTATACAAGGTGCATCTTAAATCTCAAAGCTAATCCAAATGGTACAAGACAGTTCATCATCTTGCAAATTCAGGTGTCATTATAGTCCATCAAATATATTTAGGGAGATGATGGGAACAAAATAGACCTCTACATGTAGTGGGTGTGAAGTATGGGTATGAGGTGTGTGTATCCAAAAATACTGCCTGTTGGATATGGGTCCAGTGCATCTTAATTTTCAGGAACTGGGTCCAATGTCAAGCCATGGGGTGAAAAAGTCCCAAGCTAGGCCTCTGGGCTATGTATTTGGGGGTGGTAACATCCCTCAGTACTTTGTCAAAGGGTACCATATTGGGATAGAAATGCAGAGATGACAGGCTATGGACAGAGTTTTTCAGGTAGCCTTGCTCCTTTTTTATTTGTGGCACAGTTACTTGCTACAGTGAGGTTAACGTCTCGACAGGGACACAAACAGCACCTCTCTTCCCAAGATTTTTTCTCTGAAGGAGGACACGGAATTTTATCCTTTGGGATCTTTAACCCTACACCTTCAATGTGCTCAATAATATAGTTTTGAATATTTCCCATTTTATCTGTGTCTGGACCCCCAGTCAATACTTCATTAATGTAGGCCCTAATGCTAGGCCCTTATTCCCTTATCTCCTGCATTGTAGATAATTTTTGGGCTAGGATAAAATGTGTGGAGGAGTCCAAGTATCCCTTCAGTATTTGGTAAAAGTGCATTGTATCTCCTTCCATGTGAAAGCAAAACAATTCCAATGGCTTTCCTGAAATGGAACCATAAAATACATCTCTTTCACACTGGTGGTAGCAAAACGTGGATGAGCTTCCTGTATAATGGCAATTAACTCAGCAATGTTAAGCATTGCTGCTGTTAAAGGTCTAGTATTAGAATTTAATTTCCCATAATCCATGGTGAGTCACCATTTTCTGTGTGGCTTTTTTACTGGCCAGACAGAATAGTTACAAGGAGAGCGAGTGGAAACAATTATCTCCTTTTTTTGGCAAGTCTAATATCACATGGGAAATTCCGCCTGGACTTGAGTGGAGGTACTTTTTATAGAGAGGTTTACCTGCCCTGAAAGCAGGTTTCTTACTTGCTGTGCAAATTTGTCATCATGCGCAGTCCATTCTTTCAGACATTTCTGGAAATGGGTTGGAAGCCTTTGGGGGTTTTGGGTGCCCTTGATATCCCCCTACAGTCCAAGGCTGCATCTTGGCCTTATTTCTGTGCTTAGGTGGTACTGTGTTGTGTTTATCTTTGGAAACTACAACAAGCATGTTTGTCCTGGAAAAGCACTGCTCTGCTTGGGCCAGCACAACCTACTGTGTGGCTGCCTTTTCCAGCCACATCCTGTTCTTTCCCATGGCATGTTATTACCAAAAATCCTTGGTTATTGTCAACAATTCTTGTTTCTTATTAGCAAAATACGTGGCTGGATCCACAGCCATTCATCTGTATATTGTTGTTTGAGATATACACATTAGCCCCTTATCTTCTGGGATTTTTCAGAGATTCTGCACAGGCTTAGGGCCAGCCTCCATCTCCAGAGATCCACCTGATGCTGGCAGCAGGATGCTACAGCTCTGGCTGTCCTGTGGTGCAAGGGAACTGGAACACACTGCACAGAGCATCAAGTACCCTCCTGAAGGGGGAGACCTGTTGCATGGGGACTGCTGTAGGTGCAGACCTGTGTAGGATAAGCTCAAATGACTTCCTATTCCATGCCACCAACCTGTCCTCCCAGAAAGTGACCTTTTGGGAAGCTGTTCTTTCCCTCATTTCTCACATGACATCACCTTCAAGGCTGAAAAAACATTCTTCCTCCCAGTCCATGTCTTCATCCAGGCAGGACAGCAAATCCAGGTCATAAGGAGGCCTGTTATGGACCCACCTCAGCAGATCCAATTTGGTGGTTATAGCTGTGTGCAGTTGGCTGCCTCAGTGCTCTTCCCATGCCTCATGCAGGAGGTGCATGGGAAGACTCTGTTCGTCAGTACCCTTTTTTGTCTGTGCTGTCCTCTTCTTGGGACAGCTCTTGGTCTCTGTTATCTTCCCAGTCTTTCTCCCTCTTATCCAATGCCTCTACCTTGGTTGCTGATGCTGACAGGAGTGCCCCTGCTGCCAGTCCTACTTCCTGCTCCTGAGGAGATGGGCTTCCATCTGGCTTGATGTGGAAGAGCTGGGGGGTGATCAGCAAGGCCTGTGAGTTGGAGTTTCCTTGCTCTGCTGCTCTGGATTGTGCTGTTGTCCTCATAGCCATCATTTCAGCCATCCAGCAGGGCTCATAAAACAGGGTCAAAGTTGAGCCCATTTCTCTACTGCCTAGAGGTAGGCTACTCAAGTGGGATACTCCATTGTTAAAGCCTCAGCACTGTGACCATGCCTGACGTGTCCCATGAGGGACAAGGGAGGCTTCTCTTTTCTAGCACTCCAGCTTTGGTTTTCATTGTGTTCCAGCTGAGGCAGCTCTTGGGGGTCATAGAGTTTCAAGTATTCCCTCTCCTCTACCAAGACCTTCTCCTTGGGCTCTGGTACTTCCAGGACTGCCCCTGCTGCTGCCCTTGCCCATTGCCTGCTGAGGGTGTGAGCTTCCAGAGGGCTTGGTGAAGAGCTGGGGGTGGGCAGCAGGGGCTGTGTACAGCCCCTCCCTGGCTCTCTGCCTCTGCTACTCTCACTTGCTTCATGAAGTCAGAAGCTGCTGCCTTGGCCATCTCTTAAGCTTCAGTGGTGAGAGACACACAGCGCTCCTCTGCCTGCAGTGCTGCTTATGGCTGCCTGTGGCCCACCTATGGGCAGGAGGAGAAAGATGAAGAGGAGGAGGAGGAGGAAGAGGAGCTGGGGGTCCTGTCCCACCAGTCCTTCACCCTGTGTCTCTGGCAACCTCTGCCACTGGAGCATCCAGGGGATGTGTTACCTCCTAAGGGAAATGTTCTCCTGGGATTGGGCACTCCAGGTCTTAGTGCTCCTTAAGTAACCTTGGGGTCAGGGTATGGCCTGAGACAGTAGTCTCTAGGCACCATGAGACCGCATGTGCATCACAAAGGGCCCTGGAATGTGCTGCTGTGACAATGGGCCACACACTAGCAGCCTTATAACAGCAGGGTGGGATGCACAGAGCTGGCTGGGACTGGGTGGAGCCATCTGGAAGCAGCCATGCCTGGCATAAGGCAGACCCTGCTTTCTCTACACAGAGGCTCCAGCTGACCTAAATCATCCCCTTCCCACATAGCCTCAGTGCTTGTGGCCCTGCTGAGCTCAGCCCTGTCTGCCTTTAGCCACTTGGGGTGCCACCACCCTGGGCAGCCACTGGATGGGGAGTGATGCCCAAATGCCAGAAAGATAAACTCCTTGTTGATAGAATTGCCTTGTTAAGGTTTAGGGCTTGCCACCCAGCAACGCTTTCTGTGCAGAACTGTAAATTAACACTTCTGTGTGGATTGGCCTTTTTGCACACTGGGTGAAAGACAACACACAGATATTTTCAGAGATCAGGGGGGACATGGGGACAGTGCCAGTGTTGTGCTGGGGACCTGCAGCAGGGAGTGCCTGGAACTAGCTTCAATTTTTTTTAAAAGAGTGGGAGATTTGGATCCAAAATTTTATTTTGGCCCATGACAGATAAAAAAAGTATGGAGCTGGAAAAGAAAACAAATTTAGATTCTTAGAGCTTTGATCACAGTTTTAGCTCAGGCTCAGGTCTAGCAGGTGAATTCTCTCCTAATTAGAAATATTATAATCAGCAGTAGTTGCATGTTTGTTATTTATTTCCTTTTAAACTTTTTTCTCTTCCAAAAATCAAACAAGTTTGAGGTATTGTTTTGCTGTTAAAGGCAAAAGGCTGGCTATCCTCCAAGTGTCAGTCTTCATGCAGCAATTTATCAGCAGGCTGCCAGCTTTAGCATGGCAGCAGAAGATTACAAAAGAACACAAGAGAATCAGAGAGTAAAGCAAACGTAAAGCTTGTGGAAGTTTCAGTTCCCATCCCTATCTTGTTTGTAAGGAAGCAAAATATCACATCAATTTGTGTTTCTGCAACACAAATATAAATGTGTTTTAAAATGGAAAATATTGAAAAAGCGCATAGTAGCAAAGAATCTGCATGCTTGCATTTGCAAATTGTAAATATGATCATATGATATAAAGAAATATTTGCAAGAAAGAAAAGCAAGTTGACAGTTGGTAGAAGAATGGAATTTTCTCCCATTCTTCTGAAGTCATGTCTAAATGTATTTCTGTTGCTGCACAGGAATAACTTGGTGCTCTAAACAAGTCTTAATGCAGACATAAAGATTTAAAAAAAATTTTTATACATTAATAATAAACTTTTTTTTTTTGTATTTTGGCTTAATTTTTCTGAAATGGTGAATGAATTTGATTTTGATCTGGTAGAGAACCTTGTGTCCTGCACAGTTTTCAATGTATCAATGAGAATTTTGTGGAGTACCCTTTTCAGTGTGGGAGAACAGCATGGCTGTTGGCTTCAGAGGAGAAAGAACTGTATTTGCTACTGAAGAGATGGAGGTGGTGTGTTGTCACAATAAAGTGCAAAAATCCAGTAGGTCAATAGAAAGGAAAAGCCTGACATGCACTGTGGAGAAATAGAGTGGAAAATGGAGTTTGTTGACATAAACATTTTTTCCCCTGCAATATGATTATTCATCTCTGTCTCTGAATCATGGCTCTTCCCTACAGAGATATCTATGACACTCCAGCTAAATACTGTCCCCTGTGTGCTGAATTTTCTGTTCTTTACAGGTAGGGAAAACAATACTAATTGAATTTGCTGTTGTCCTCTAATATTTTATTTTGCTGCAGAAAAATGTGCAACACTGAAGATGAGAAATAGTAACTTATTCCACAAAGTTGGAGAGATTTCTCACTACCAACCCTGAGGCATTTGAGGCATTTTATTTTTTAATTGTCATAAACTGACAAATAGAGAAGATGGATCACAATGCAATACACATGCACATCTTTTTGGAAAATGAAATAAGAAATGAAATTATCTGAAATTAAATATGGAAGGGAAGGTAGCAAGGCATAACAACAAAACATAGGATTTGTGTCTGCATGTGTAAATTTGAAAAGAGCTGAAATGAGAGGCAGTAACGACCAAAAAAATGGCTTCTGATCAACAGTCCAGTTTATCTATAATTACAATTACAAATAATTACAAAATTTTAATTTAAGTAAGAGTTAAATAGCACTGTTGCTAATCCAGAAGTTCAGCATTAATAAAATTAATTTGAACGCATCATTCTTACAAATGTCTTAGGAGATCTATGAAATCTAGTAGAAAAAAGACGATGGCAAAGCCCTTTTTATAAAGAACAGTAATTCCTACTGTGTCATATTCTTCATGCAGAGGAAACAAACCTGAAATTTATAAAAGAATCAGGCTGAAACTTTCACATCTGTTTTTACAGAGCAAAGTTAGTGGTAGAAACTCTTCCAGATTATTTATTCCACATGTTACCAGTACACAGTGTTATGAAAGCTAGGACAGACTGGTAAAATATGTGATGCTTAGGAAAGTGGAGTTTAAATGATCTGCCTTTCAAATTTTGGAGTGGGTTTTTGTCTGTTTTAAGTTCAAAGAATTTGGTGACATAATTCAAACAAAGACATGTACATCTGAAGTGAATACCAATTAATTAAAGCAATTTGTAAGAATCAAAGTGTTTATAAATTTAAGTTTCATTCATGTATTGAAGACTTGTTAAACAGAATAATCTGAGAATTACTCAGGCATTACAGGAAATTTCAAAATTACTGGAATTTTGAAAGCAAAGAATTCTACATGATTAAATCAATAATTACTTTCAAATGTGGAATGATTTAAAAATAAATTTTGTTTTTTAATATTAAAATGAATTTTATTCTTTCTAAGGAAATCCTCTTAAATTTTTTTAGCATTGCCGCAACATGTTAGGAAGCTAAGCCAGGTGATATGTGTGTATAATACCTGAAATGGTTTCTGTTCCCTCTTGGAAAACAAGTCTTGAAACATTGGCAGATATTTGGAAGAAAATCACACCTTTTTTCTTTTTTTTTAGCAAAATCTATTTAAATATTCTCTATGCACTCTTCTGTTCTGTGCTGCATTTTGCTACATCTTGATGTGTGAATTAAAGCACTGAAATGTGTTTTAAAGAAATCCTCCATCTGGAAAAAGGAAATAATGTGTGAGACACCAAACAGATTGAGTTCTTCAGATAGATTTCTGTTTTAGAGCAAATAATTGCATTAGGAGTTAAAACAAAAATGAATATGTGATGAGGACAGTTGTAATGCTCTTCAAAAGCAGACAGCTTCTGTAAGGCTTTGGCAAATTACTATTCTACACCAAGATAATTAAGGCAAAGTACATTTTTCTCCCTGTTTGGAAACAGGGTAACAAAATTCTAACTTCATGCTTTCTGTTTACCTGTTTTTGTTTCATTTTCAGGAACTCCCAGATTCTCTGAAAGAACAGATCTATCTAAAAGAATGGCATGTGTACAATACACTGATACAAATCATTCCAGCCTACATTGCACTATTTCAAGATCTGAGAGTATTGGAATTGTCAAAAAATCAAATCAACCATCTTCCAGCAGAGATTGGTGAGTTGATCCAAGATATTCAGATATTTATACTCATACCATTTAATGCCAGTGCAGGGAAATGAGCATCCATGGATATTCTTGTTAATTTACTGATAATTGTCTCCTTGCTTACACTGAACAGTCTTCACAGCATTTTTATATCTCTCTGGCTTTGATTATACTTGCCAAATTGTATTTAAAACCATGAATATAGTATGGGAAAAAGTTAGCACATTTTTGTTATCTGATTATATGGCAGTTATTGCTTGTATTCAAGTAGATGGAGGGTTGTTTCTGAGAACAGGTGATGTTTTATATTCCTTACAGATTAAGAAAAATAGAAATATTGCAGGATTTTAAGCCTCAAACAAGATGAATGGAAACAAAAGATTGTGGGAAAAGGAAAAAAAATAGAACCCTGCAAAAATATACATTTTTTTTTTAGGAGTTCAGTAATGATCTTAATTTATTAAAGAGCTATGTCATAGAGTAATTGATTAATAGAAAAAATTTGGATTGGAAGGGACCTTAAAATTCATTTAGTTCCAATGCCACTGCTGTGGGCAGAGACACCTTTCATTAGACCAGGTTGGTCAGAGCCCCTTCCAGCCCAGCCTTGAATGTTTCCAGGGATGGTGTTTCCACTGCTTTTCTTGGCAACCTGTGCCAGTGCCTCAACACCCTTATGGTGAAGAATTTCTTTGTAATATCTAATCTAAATCTACTCAACCTGATGTTGTATGTTTTAGAGAAACAAATTCTTAATGCTTAAATGCTTCAGCCCTTGACATTTTAAGTTACATAAAAATACTTTTCATGCTTGCCTCTCCTATTTCTTGGATCTTACAGTAGAAAATCTTGTTTGACAGATTGTATTGGTATTGAGAGGGATTTACTGCTCTTATGACAAAAAATATACCTGTAACAGGTGGAATCTTTGAGAGCTGAAGGAATTGGGCCCATTGTGGGCTTGAGACTGTTGAGTTCATGCACTTAGCTGTCTCAGCCTTTGATTTTAAATATAGTAGTCCTAGGCTTTCCCAACGAATGCCATTCCTTATGTACACTAAGAGATAACAGCTTAAAGACTAAAACCTCCACCTCCCTTGATATCTTAAGTTTAAATAAGAAAAACAGGAAGAGGGAGAGCATCCTGAAACACAGAAATCTGACCTAGAACTTTCTACTATTTTAGTATTCTATTAGTCAAGTAACACTCATGCTTTTGATTTATTTACTAGTACTATATCTTGGAAAGAAAATTTTACATAGACATCAAGATCTATTTTATAGTTTCAGCCTGGCATCTGAACACACTAACACATCATAAACAGGACACAAGCAGGAGAAAATAGACATAAAATGAGCACTAACTGTTTTATCAGCACTTTGACAGCAGATCTCAGGTAGATC